AGCTACCATTTATATACTTACAATTTTATAAATGTCTTAAATTGTTAAGTTTGCCGACAGTCTGTAATCTGACCTTTATTGAATGTCAATATTCAAGCTACCGTTAGCTCTGTTAGTAAGCTAATTAAGTTAGCTAACATTACATAACAGAAAGAAAGTTGATGTTAGATATGTTGGTTAACAATCCATAAAACTGACGCTTCAGCCAGGAGTTATTGAATGTATTTAAATGTATATTAAGTTACATATTAAAGCTAACGTTCTGACAGTTAGCTAGTTTAGTTGGCTAACAGCAGGTAACAATTACACCAACAGTTACTAGGAGAAGGTTATATATTTAGTGGCAAATTATTTTCATTTCAGAGTTTGTCTGACGTGTAAAGCTCCATTTAATAAACATGTATAAGCAACCCAGTCTCACGGCATTTCGTGTTATAGTCACGACATTTAATCTATTGATTCGTGTTCACCAACACGATTTTCGCAATTTTTTCGTGTCACACAGAACGACTTTAAAAGCAATGTATTTCTATTGGTAGTGTGTTTCGTGCCTGCACCACGTCTTTTTGTCCGGTCGGGTCTTGGAAGACCAGAAGCTGTGTGGTTCATAAAAACATGTTCTTACTCAATATCTTACCCTAAGCCTAACCCTATCCCTTTTATTTTAAATTGTATAATGTCGGATTTTTTTGCCATCCTCGAGGAAAATAAATGGCTCAGAGCCTCAGAATACTGACATCTGTATTTTATATCATCTTTTTTTCCTTCTAATTTGTTATTATTTACATTGCGTTTAAAATCGTTCTGTGTGACACGAAAACAATTGCGAAATCGTGTTGGTGAACACGAATCAATAGATTAATTTCGTGACCATAACATGAAACGCAGAGAGACTGTGTTGGCATAAGTCCTTAGAGCTTGCCTAAGTTTGAACTTACCAACAGCTTTTTAAAGCAGGAGCCTTTGCTTCTACATGGGAGCATTGTCATGTTGAAAGAGAATGCCTTTCCAAACCTGCTGCAGGTTAGATGCCTAAACTAATTGTCTGAAGTATTTTTGTACTCTGTGGTATTTAGATGTTCACCTTATTTAAACTCATGCTGATTGAAGGGCAGATCTGATATGACTGTAAGCTGTTCAAAGATCATCTCCCTGTTTAATTAACTCTGACTGACGTGACAGCTACACTCCTGAGTTAAACTAATGCTGACAACTTTCCATTGCAGAGATAATGTTTTACCTTTTTTTTAAATCATTAGAGATGTCCTGGAGGGAAACATGTGTGTGCAGAAATCTTCAGATAATTGCGGGGAGTGTCGAGTCTTGCCGGGCAGACTGATGTCTAAGAAAGTTTATGGCACTTGTAATGTTGTGGGCTGGGCAGGACATAACTCACGGGTTTAATGAGCACCCACCTGTGTCTGAGGTCACTTGTATTCTGTAGCCCTGTATCCTCGACTGTGGTTTACTCCAAATCATTTGCACTGTTTTCTCATTCAAAATCCTAAACCTCAAGTCTGACGGAGGGTTCACTGTGAAGAGAAAAAGTAAACAGAGTTAATCCAGCAGCTTCAGGCGGTGGATGTATTGTAATGTGAAGAATACAAGGATTTCCCCAACAGTCAACACTTCCAGGATGAAGTTTGAAAAGTTCACTGTTGGCACAAACAACACAGAGACAAACTAAACTACAGATGTTAGGGAAGCCATTTTGGACTCACACAAAAATGACCTCCGTTTGAGTTTGTGTGGCCGGCAGCCATCAACAACTCAAGCAAAAAGACACAACAACACACATTACCATCTACTGTTGAGAACATTCACTAAGAAACACAAACATGGCGGGAAGACTCAGACTCTGGTGAAGTTTGGCTGACAAAGTCTACGGAAGCTGAAAAAAGGCCAATTTCAAGAAAGATAATAATTAAGTGTCTAAAATCTCAAATGCAATGGTTTCCAATATGCTTAGTAAGAAGTGGTTTATTTCCAGACCTGAATATTCAAGTTAAGTTGCTTAGATTGGATTATTGTTAGAAATTGTGACAAGAAAAGGAATCCAGTTTACAAACAAGAAGCAATCTTGACTTAAAGGCATTGTTTGTTTCTTACAATGATTTGTATTTTTGGCTTAACTACACTTTTGAGATCCAAAAATGATCATAGTGATGTTTGTTAAAATATTGGACAATCTATGTTTCTTGATCCCATAAATGTATAAAATGTTTGATGGTTTAAAACTTAAAAGTTGTGTCTGGAAAACAAACATTTAAACTATCATGACCTTTCTTTGCTTCCATTCAGATAATTTAACAGATAGATACCAACAATATATATGTTTTTTAATTCACCAGCTTCTTCGTAAATAATAAAAAGTTTTGCTTCCGGCCAAGTAACGACAACATGGACCGGCTGACATCCTGCAGACCGTCCATGACCTCAATCCAACTCAAGATGTTGAATTGACAAAAACACACATCTGATGAAACTCTCAAATATTGATTATACAATGGGGAAAAGTTTCTCTCATCGTCTCCATTGCAAACCTCATAAAAGAATACACAACGTCAATAAAGACGCGTGTACATCTTTTTTCTTTTCCCAAACAAACTGCACCAAAGGTTCTTAAACTACTTCAGCTCCAGATCCCAGATTTTTAAATGAATTTGTTTCCTTTCAGGATCTGGACTTTAATCATTTAAGAACCTCTGATTTTTGGACACGGAGGATATCATGCATCACGTGTACATGAAAAGTTGTTAACAACAACTTGGGGCAACGGACAAACAGATCCCATGTACACGAGGGACGACAGGGTATTATTTAGAGAATATTTTAAAATGATTTTCTTCAGGTTGGGGTTTTCAAACAAAATCTAAAATCTAACACGAGTAAAAAGTCGCCTATCTGAAAATCTAGCTTGCTATAATGCACCAATTTTTAATAAAGAAAATAAAAGTAGCTGTAAGTTTAGCTAACGTCCAGAGATGAATGCTTTTAGACGCAAATCATCGGTAGAACCGGGGTTACACAACTAACCGAAAGCGTTATGAGCAAGAAAAGATGAATCTTGATTTATGGTAGGATGTAATGTAAATAAACTACTCCAGATATCTTTCAAGCTTTTTTCTACTAATCTGTCAATAACCTTATCATTTAAGATATACTATTTTGACATTTTCTTACTCTTTCTTATTTATCTACACTTGAATAGCTACCAAGTTCTTTGAAACAGATACCGTAAAACACTTCTCTTATCGCCATTTATCCAACTGATGCTAGTATCAATACTCAAAACAAGATTTGGTATTGCAGTATTGATACTCAATGTGACAATCCACAGTTTTTCCAGCCCTGTATATTTTCCCCCATTTTTAGAGACTATTATCTTGAAAACGCTTGCCTAAACTGAAAACAGTTTCTAAAAGGTGTAAACAGCGAGTCTAACTCTTAATTTGTTCATGCTGAAGGGAAGTTCATCTAACGGTAATCTGAGCTCCAGAGTTTGTGCTCATTTTGTGAAAGTTCTGCAGAAACACACGATGCAAATTAGGGAAACAAGTAAATAAACGACACAATATTTAGCTAGAGTGTTTTTTTCCTAGACCGCCAACCAGTTCATCTGTTAGTATTGGAGTGAAGAATATCATTGTAAAATATTGTGAAGCCGAGACTCGAGGTCAAGGCTTGACCGTGAAGAGGGGGAAGGGACAGGACGTCAGAAATGGAGGAACCACCAACCTGGTGAATCAATGCAAGGGCCGCGGGGGCTGCTGCTTCTGTTTCCAAATGGACAAAAACTACCCAAAGAAACTCCAGCACTTACACACACATGGACACACACACTTGAACACACACTTTCTTACATTCTGAGCTTTTCTTTGAAGCTTTTGACCTCCGAGGCTGCTTTTATTTTGCAATATTTCACCTGATATGTGACAGTCCTTAAAGCAGAGGACTTCCTTTTGGGGGATAATTCTTTTTTCCAGCCTCAACAAGTCTAAGTATTCCACACGCTATAATGTATATGACCCCATTATGATGCCTTTACTTTGAAAGGGGCCCCGTTGAGACAATAATGGGGGTCACAGGAGGTCGGAAACTCTCCTGGAAGCAGAAGAGAGAAATATTCTCCTCCTTGATGGGTTTTTACTGCACTTAGGAGAAACTCCAGAGGCACATGGGAGCAGATTCTCTCCTCTTCTAACCTCTGGAAAATCATGTGAAACTCATATTTAGTCTTTCCGTTCCATCAGGAGAAAGGACGTGGGGAGGAAAGTTGGCCACGTGCCGTCTGGGCTTTTCCTTTTTTTGGAAACTATAGAGAAATGTCTGCTTCAGTAGTAAATATTTGATTATAAGCAAGAGCCCCTCCTGGTGTAAAACAGACGGAACTACATCTGTGTGAGGATGAAAAGATGTCCCATTGAACCCATTAGTTTCAGCTCTACCGCCTCACATGGGATGCAGTAAAGGTTCAAACACTTTTTTTTTTACTTTACGATAGTTTTTCAGATAGATTACGGTCTTTTCAGATGGGTACATGTGAATAAATGGCATTTTAGAAGCTTGAAGTTGTTCTTTTAGGGGAGAAAGGCAAAATAGGTTAGCTTTTTTAACAGTATAACAATGTTCCCTCATAACGGTAGCTTTCTCATCATCTTGTAACTCTCTCATGGCTAAAAACACTTCTGAAGCGCTACTAGTTTGACCAAATGAACTCCAATCCATAAATTCAACCCAGATATTTGAAGCTATTTCTCTGCAAGTAGAAATCTTGTGAATTCCTGATGGAAACTTGGGGGAAAAACATCAATCAAAAGGTTAAACTGAAGCTGAAAAGATAAAACAAATCAATCCACACATTCTCTTTCTCTGTGTGATTCTTTTATTCAGACTAAATATGCATCATTGCAGAGGAAAGGCAGAGGTGAGAGGAGGTGAAGAGAGAGGTGTTGGATCACAGAGAGGATGATGAAGAGGAGGAGGAAGAGCAGCTTTACCTGTATCCTGGGCGTGAGAGGAGGACAGCAGCAGTGCCAGGAGGGCAGCCGCCGCCAGAAACATCTTCATCTTCATCTTCTTCCTCCGGCTCAGCAGCTCATGAAGGAGGCTGAGGAGGAACGAAGAGAGGCGGTTAAACCTTCAACAAATCAGCCCGAGGCTCCAGAACACCTTTGAGCAACCTGAATGTGAACCAGGAACCTCCAACACCTGCCTCGTGGAAATCTACCAGCAATCAGATGCTTAAAAATCCACACAAAAAACGCAGGAATATATAAAAAAAATCAGATTTCCATGATCCTTGGGCTCCTAACAACTGTTCCCCAGAGACACTAAATGTTTTTTTACAAGTTAGACTTTATATTAATGTCCAAAAATCCACAATTTCAAAACGTTAAACAACCAACAAAGCAGTTTTAATGGATAACCTGTTAGAATAAAGGCGCACATCTGACTGTCTCTTCTCTTCCTGTGTTAAGTCTCCGTGTTTCCCTCCTAAATCAGCCTGCCTGGATTCTGATGCAAATCCTCCAATGAAGTCCCTCATATCCCTGCTGATAAATAAACCCACTCTACCGGAGAGAAAGTCTTTCAAAAGTTCAGAAAAACCGAGCGTCAAATCCTCTCTCCGTGCGCAATTACGCACCGCGATTTCAAGGAATAGTCCACGCGTTCCTCGAAATACTCCAAATTAAACTGGATGGTAACTGGAATATTAAAAACGAGTACAATTGAGGACTAAAACCACCTTAAAGCTGCAAGAAATACGTCATGTATGCGTCTTAAAAAGCACCAAAATAATTCAACTGGGAAGAAAAACGTAAAGATATTGCAGGACTGACCTATGGAGAAGACTGTAGAATCTCTCTGGGTTGGTTTAACGAAATTAAAAATTAAAAAGGTGGTAATCTCTCTGTTGCAGACCCTCAGCCTGAGGAGAGAGAAATGATCCGGAGAGCTTCTTGGTTCCCAGACGCGTCGGCGAGCCTCTTTCCAAATGGAACGAATCTGCACTCAATCTGGTACTTAACAGGGGGGAGTAACCCTCCTTAGAGTTACCCTCCCAGCGCTGTTACGCAGCGTTGGGGGGGTTACTTTAAACATGCGGGAAGTAACTAAGTAGTTTTTAAGTACTTAAGTACAATTTTGAGCTACTTGTACTTCTACTCCACTACAGTTCAGAGGTACATGGTGCACTGTTACTCCACTACATGTATTTAATACCTTTAGTTACTTTACAGATGTGGATGAATGATGTGAAATATAACCAAGTGTTAAATCAGACTTTAGTTCCACCTGGAGTAAATCCACAAGCTACCCTGCAGTATACAAAGTCATTCAAACTAGCTGCACCTTTACCAGCTTTGAGAACACTTTCATGATCAATCATTATAAAACATATCATATATATTATTCTGAAATGGACCAATCTGCACAATGACTACTTTTACTGTCGCTACTTTCACTATATTTTGATGATAATACTTTTCTACTTTCACTTGAGGAACATTTTGAATGCAGGACTTTTACTGTAACCGAGTATTCTTACACTCTGGTACTTCTACTTTTACTCAAGTACTATATCTGAGTACTTCTACTTTTACTTAAGTAACATTTTGAATGCAGGACTTTTTTATCCGTTACTCCCCAAGGCTGCTCTTACGACATGCAGCCGAGACAAAAAATGATGTGCAACCTCTGAAAGTGCGTACACACACACACACACACACACACACACACACACACACACACACACACACACACACACACACACACACACACACACACACACACACACACACACACACACACACACACACACACACACAGCACACACACACACACACACACACACACACACACACACACACACACTCACACACACACACACACCTGCACACACACACACACACACCCACACACACACACACACACACACACACAACCACACACACACACACACACACACACACACACACACACACACACACACACACACACACACACACCACACACACACACACACACACACACACACACACACACACACACACACACACACACACACACACACATCACACACACACACCACACACACACACACACACACACACCACACACACACACACACACACACACACACACAACACACACACACACACACACACACACACACACACACACACACACACACACACACACACACACACACACACACTCACACACACACTCACACACCTCTCTCTCACACTCACACATACACAGACTCGGAAACTTCTACATAGTTCTCTGCATTCCTTTCCGGTGATGGAGGGCTTCTGTGCGTCTCGGCCACAAGGAGACAGGAGATCTGCTTTTTTGGGAAGAGGGGGGATGACTGAGGCTTTTACTCCCTTTTTCATTTGGTGAATCAAAGGGAAAATATGACACAGTCTGGTAAACTAAACCCCCCACAACTCAGACTTTCCCCCCTGTAATGAATCATTCCGGGTTTCAGGGTCGGAGCAGAAGTTCCTCAGCCGGGTCTGATTAGGAGGAAACACAAATGTATGACAATTAAAATCATCCCAAGAAAGTCAACCATGACCAAATCTAAAACAGTACTTCTGTACCGAGTTGAACAGAAAGGGACATACATACAGTTAGAAATGTGAGATCAAATGTAAAATCTGAAATCTCACAAGGTTATGATCCAAATTGGAAATAGATCCTAAAAATGTGATTTGGGTCTCCTATTATTTATTCATCCTACTTATATTTAATTTCCTTTAACCCCAAATCTGTTTGTTATAATACAAAACATTTACAGTTCCCCCAAAATGTGGACAAGGCACCTCCAAAATGTGTAACTTTGAACTGTGTTAAAGTGCATAAAAGTCTCTAAATTCTGGATCGCAGTGTTTTTTTCCTACAAATACCTAGAGATATGTTTATTTTGTTTTTACTATAAAACTAATAACAGCACCACTAAAGTGTGTTGCAGTCATACATTCTGTGATATTTTTGTCAACATTGCTCCAGAATTGCCTTTAAAATCATAACGCAATTTGTGTTAGTGCCAACAAATGTGTAAAAGCAACACCAACACGTCTGTTATCATTTCAAATAGAAACTTTACATATCCTAACAAGTATTTAAATAAGTGGTCAAATGTGTTGAAGCACCCCAAACATTGTGAATAGTCTCAATCATTTATGACTATTTGGCTAAAAACCAGAAACATTAACATTTCAATAGTTAAATCATGATAATGGCGCCCCCTGGTGGCTGAAAACACGGACACAATTAGCTGGTTATTGATCAAATTGAACTCTCCGCTCTCCCCTCTCTCCTCTCTCCCCTCTCTCCTCCCCTCTCTCCGCTCTCCCCTCTCTCCTCTCTCCCCTCTCTCCCCTCTCTCCCCTCTCTCCCCTCTCTCTCCTCTAAAACACCTGCCCTCCTGAATGCGCCGAAGACGTCCCTCAGGAGTCAACTTTGCTCGACCCAACTGCATGGGCTCCTCTGAGACACTTGGGAGCACTCTTCTTTCAGGAGGAGCATCAGCAGGATGTCTCCAGGCGGGACGATGGCTTGGTGTGTCCCCTTGGTGTCGAGGCAGTCGTGCCACATTCTTAAACCTTTCTTTGTGTCTTTCGGCTAGACTATTCCAGCCACTATCTGCTGAAAGGGTCCTGAACTCAATGGCATAGTCCGATACTCTGCGCTGGCTCTGCTTAATCTGCATCAGTGCTCTTTGATGTTCAGGTGTATATCAGTATGTAGTGTCTCTACTTTAAAGAGTCCTCTCCTGCTGATGTTCAGGTGTATATCAGTATGTAGTGTCTCTACTTTAAAGAGTCCTCTCCTGCTGATGTTCAGGTGTATATCAGTATGTAGTGTCTCTACTTTAAAGAGTCCTCTCCTGCTGATGTTCAGGTGTATATCAGTATGTAGTGTCTCTACTTTAAAGAGTCCTCTCCTGCTGATGTTCAGGTGTATATCAGTATGTAGTGTCTCTACTTTAAAGAGTCCTCTCCTGCTGATGTTCAGGTGAATATCAGTATGTAGTGTCTCTACTTTAAAGAGTCCTCTCCTGCTGATGTTCAGGTGAATATCAGTATGTAGTGTCTCTACTTTAAAGAGTCCTCTCCTGCTGCTGTTCAGGTGTATATCAGTATGTAGTGTCTCTACTTTAAAGAGTCCTCTCCTGCTGATGGTCAGGTGTATATCAGTATGTAGTGTCTCTACTTTAAAGAGTCCTCTCCTGCTGATGTTCAGGTGAATATCAGTATGTAGTGTCTCTACTTTAAAGAGTCCTCTCCTGCTGATGTTCAGGTGAATATCAGTATGTAGTGTCTCTACTTTAAAGAGTCCTCTCCTGCTGCTGTTCAGGTGTATATCAGTATGTAGTGTCTCTACTTTAAAGAGTCCTCTCCTGCTGATGGTCAGGTGTATATCAGTATGTAGTGTCTCTACTTTAAAGAGTCCTCTCCTGCTGATGTTCAGGTGTATATCAGTATGTAGTGTCTCTACTTTAAAGAGTCCTCTCCTGCTGATGTTCAGGTGAATATCAGTATGTAGTGTCTATACTTTAAAGAGTCCTCTCCTGCTGATGTTCAGGTGAATATCAGTATGTAGTGTCTCTACTTTAAAGAGTCCTCTCCTGCTGATGTTCAGGTGTATATCAGTATGTAGTGTCTCTACTTTCAAGAGTCCTCTCCTGCTGATGTTCAGGTGTATATCAGTATGTAGTGTCTCTACTTTAAAGAGTCCTCTCCTGCTGATGTTCAGGTGAATATCAGTATGTAGTGTCTCTACTTTAAAGAGTCCTCTCCTGCTGATGTTCAGGTGAATATCAGTATGTAGTGTCTCTACTTTAAAGAGTCCTCTCCTGCTGCTGTTCAGGTGTATATCAGTATGTAGTGTCTCTACTTTAAAGAGTCCTCTCCTGCTGATGGTCAGGTGTATATCAGTATGTAGTGTCTCTACTTTAAAGAGTCCTCTCCTGCTGATGTTCAGGTGTATATCAGTATGTAGTGTCTCTACTTTAAAGAGTCCTCTCCTGCTGATGTTCAGGTGAATATCAGTATGTAGTGTCTCTACTTTAAAGAGTCCTCTCCTGCTGATGTTCAGGTGAATATCAGTATGTAGTGTCTCTACTTTAAAGAGTCCTCTCCTGCTGCTGTTTCAGGTGTATATCAGTATGTAGTGTCTCTACTTTAAAGAGTCCTCTCCTGCTGATGGTCAGGTGTATATCAGTATGTAGTGTCTCTACTTTAAAGAGTCCTCTCCTGCTGATGTTCAGGTGTATATCAGTATGTAGTGTCTCTACTTTAAAGAGTCCTCTCCTGCTTATGTTCAGGTGTATATCAGTATGTAGTGTCTCTACTTTAAAGAGTCCTCTCCTGCTGATGTTCAGGTGAATATCAGTATGTAGTGTCTCTACTTTAAAGAGTCCTCTCCTGCTGATGTTCAGGTGAATATCAGTATGTAGTGTCTCTACTTTAAAGAGTCCTCTCCTGCTGCTGTTCAGGTGTATATCAGTATGTAGTGTCTCTACTTTAAAGAGTCCTCTCCTGCTGATGGTCAGGTGTATATCAGTATGTAGTGTCTCTACTTTAAAGAGTCCTCTCCTGCTGATGTTCAGGTGTATATCAGTATGTAGTGTCTCTACTTTAAAGAGTCCTCTCCTGCTGATGTTCAGGTGTATATCAGTATGTAGTGTCTCTACTTTAAAGAGTCCTCTCCTGCTGATGTTCAGGTGTATCTCAGTATTTAGTGACTCTACTTTAAAGAGTCCTCTCCTGCTGATGTACAGGTGTATATCAGTATTTAGTGTCTCTACTTTAAAGAGTCCTCTCCTGCTGATGTTCAGGTGTATATCAGTATGTAGTGTCTCTACTTTAAAGAGTCCTCTCCTGCTGATGTTCAGGTGTATATCAGTATGTAGTGTCTCTACTTTAAAGAGTCCTCTCCTGCTGATGTTCAGGTGAATATCAGTATGTAG